ATAATTTCTTTCAGAATAGTATTTTCAATACTGTTACATGGGAATGAAAATATTATCGATTCATTTGAAACAATGGGAATTTCGAATAATGAATTATTTTGTTGATTTTGTATTTCAAATTTTGGCAAATGAAATAATGCTGAATGTGATATGCAAGAAAATGATTTTCCTTTAAGAAACAGGGACAATCGAAAAGTGATTGTATTCTATGGCCGTTCTTGGGGTAGAACTATGGGTTCCCTCGGTCTCTTTGATGGGATTATCAAACTTCTCGGTGCATGAAGATCGTCTGGTGACCCCATTCGAGCCAGCTTTTGAACACATTGTTGTCTCGCGAACGGTGCAAATGTGTCTCTCTCTCTCTCTCTCTCTCTCTCTCTCTCTCTTGCCACTGCTACTTCGTCCTCGGTTCGACGGTTTTTGCGTTTGCTGCTGTTTGTGGTGGTGCTGGGTTCCCTTGTGAGAGCAGCAGCCCGCTACCACGAGAGAGGAGTTTAAAGGTAAACGGGTTTCTCGCGGACAGACCGTGCCGCCACATTATCGGAGGACTTCGTCAAGTCCGTTCTCTCTCGGTCACGTGTACGGCGGTGTCCCTAAACGATTCTTCTTGTTGCTAGAATGAAAAGTCCCTAGCTGTGTTTCTAGTGTGCAAAATCCCTCTGTGGTTCTTCTTCTTCTTATTCGTACAGAGGTCGTGGCAGTTTATAGCCTCATAGAGAGACCTCGTCACCCAGGGACCATAAACTGTTAGGTACTTCATCTTGGTAATTGAACGAATATATGATGATTGATGCATGGGTATCATAAGCGCTCGTATTCTCATAGAGAGGATCTGTCATCATTAGAGACTAGAAACCGCCCAGGGAATTCGTTCTGGTAAATGGAGGAGTTTATTACGATTATTATATGTATAGTGGCGTACGCCATCGTACTTAGGTACGTCATAGGTATCATACATTATTATAGATCGTTATATGGTGTTGTGAGCCATCACATATCATCGTCGAATATCATTAGGTATCGTGAGGCATCGTACACTATCGTAGAGTATCATACGGTATTATAAGCCATCATATAATAACGTAGAATATCATGAGGTATCATACGCCATCACACGCTCTCATAGAGTATCATAGGCCATTATATGGTATCGTGGGCCATCATAGACACACTATCGCAGAGTATCATAGGGTATCGTAAGCCACCATATCAAACCATTTTAAGATATATACTATCGTAAAGCGTCACACAATATCATGAATTAACAAACCATACCTGGTGATGCTGAAACATTAGTATACTATTTTAGAAGATCTCAGAATTATGAAGTGATCGCTACCACTAGGAAACACCTATTCCAGACGCTGTGGGTAATGAATGAGATAAAGTACGTGAGACTCTGGGGAACTGGGCGGATCTCTCTGTATAAAGCGGTAGTAAACTTCGGGTTTTGACCTGGAAAACATTAATGCACTTAACCCGGGTACTTACACAACTGTACAAAAGTCCCTAGACAAATGTGGGTGTGCCTTTTTTGAATAGAAGGAACCACAGAATCATGGAATTAACATATGGATTACCAACTAATATAATTCTTTAATGGGCACCCCACAATTTTATCTTTCGTTATATATGACCAAGAACATTGTGATAGCTGTAAAAATTATTTTTTATTTATTTAGTGAATTTTTTTCGTATATATATTTTTATTTTCTCTTTCTGTTCCTCGGGTCATTGAACATGAAATATTTCATAAACTAATGGTCATATGCACCGGAAAAAAACATCTGCTGAGGCTCTACTAAACCTCATTTAAAAAGTCAGCATTACACCTGGATATCTCTCCATGTCAGTTCCCAGGAGCCTTCGAATACTAATCGAGGATTTACTGTACTATCCCTGCTCCCGTGTATCAGCTTGCACACATCGAACAACACGTTCACCACGTCTCCATTTCAGTTTCGTAGGAAATTTAGTTACATGGTATTGCTACACCCCTATATGCAACCTTCCACCTTGCGAAAAGTCACTTCCTCACAGAAGTATCTCAACCATGAACGCACAAGTGGTCGTGTATAGTCACTTTCTGACATTTTACTCACACACATATATATTCTATGACAAAATTGCCTCCGCAGAAAAGTGTTTGGAGGCTCTCTGTTCAGGGAATAGTGAGCTAGGAGTATATATCGATGGATAATTTCGTTAAACGCGAAAAGCAGGACGGAGATAGAACCTTGTGGGTGCTGCCAGGCTCCTCCTCCCGCAGCTGAAACTACTCCCTCGAGAAAATCATGGCGGCCCAGCGCTACAAAGCCACCACCACGAGGTTTTTTATCATTGTAAACGAAGGGATGTACCTATCGGGCCGTTAAACAGCGTTTCATAGCACCTGCCGAGTTCACCTCGCGTCTCCCCCGTTAATGATATACAGCCCCGCGAAATACGTGGCAGCATATGGCGCACAGAGCTTGTACACACGTGCGCGTCTGTTGCGTTATCTTCGCCCGAAAGGAGTGAACGTCTGTCGGCCACGGTTTGATATCGTGAAAACTAGCGGACAGTTGGTGAATTTTTTTTTTTTTTTCTAGCGTCTCTTGTTAAGATAAACGTAATCGATACAGCAAGTATATCAGCTTTGATCTGATCCATAACGGTTTTCATATAAATATATCACTATCGACTTAAGTATTGTTGATCATAGGGGATACCCGACTTATTCTCATTAGTTTCATTTTCCGTCACTAGTTGGCGTATCGAAATTCTGACTTACCCTATACAAGGTATACCGGGTGGATATTGTAGAACAGAAAAAAAAATAGAAATACTTTGATTCGTTGGACAGACTAATTTCCACCACGTCCAAGTGAGACCACCGATCAGCGATCACCAGGGGTATAACGTCGTTGTTATACAGCCTTTCTGTTCCAACAAGATATATATTCGGCAACATCTGGCAGACAGTTTCGCGCATATAGCTGGGTTCGCTAGAACGTTTTCTGGGTCCTTTGTGTGTACCCAGATCGGGCGCCTCGTGGTTCCCCGATCCTTTTTTTTCATTTTTTCGGTCTGAAGCAGCCAGAGGAAGATAGAGGGAGAGAGAGAAAGAGAGTGGAGGCCTCGGCCACGATCTCAAGTCCGAAGAAACGATTAAGTGAACCGGAATATCCAGGCCCCGTTGCTTCGGGCCCCCAGTTTCTCTCTCTCTCTCTCTCTCTCTCTCTCTCTCTCTGGTTTTGTGCAGGCCGTGGCCCCATCAGAAGGAAAAAAAAAAACCACCAGGCCCGGGTAGCAATACACACGAGGCGCAGGGACCCCGATCGTAGCGAATTTTCGGGCCGGATCCTCGACGCTCTCTCGACCCTGACGGATTTGAAGAAAAAAAAAAAGAAGCTTACAGAACTGCGAGAAGACACGTTTCGCGAACAGACTTGAACTTCGTCGAGAGCCACGTCGGTTTGAAACACCGTAGTCTGCTTCATGCACATGGGTTGTTCAGTAGAAATATTTCCAGATGCAGATATTACGAAAAAATAGACTATTCTGATTCGTTGGGGGTATACTTGGTGTGTACAATTCGGAATCACAGTAAATCTCCGATTAACGCTCGATACTCGCTTTGGAACAGTTATCGCAGAGGGACACGATTTCTGCACTTTATCAACTGCATTTCAGGCCGAGCCTTCGGTGTTGAACCCCTTTCCTCAATAGTCGGGGTGAAGTAGAAGTATTTAACGTAGAGATCCTTCCGAGCAGTTATCGAGACTTTACTGTAATGGCCGAAAAAAGCGTTCGATCACCCACAGAACACGAGGGGTCAGTAGTTTTCTCTAAATTTTACCAATACCCCCCCCCCCAAATAACTAGTACAGTCCTGCTAAGAGGTCCAAACAACGATCATCGATATAGGTCGACAAGAATAATTCGTCATCTACCGCCTGATCGTGACCGAGTCACACACACGTTTTCCTTGAATAAAACGTTTCTGAAAGTTGTGCATGCTCGCGAATGGCAGACACGGTTCGAACGGTAGACGCGCGCGTCACTCGGCGAGTGACTCGTAGGAATTAACGATTACCAGCCCCGGTATATGTACATGGTGGCCTCTGTTTATTCATCTTTCGTAAACGGAAACGCGACTATGATGGGACTGTGTAGCAGGAGAGCGGTGTCGAACGAGCAATAGATGGCGGAGGGGGAGGTTTCTGTTAGCTGCCCGCGGTGTATGTAAATTCACGACGGCCATCGGTTGTGCAGTCGTATCGGAAGTAAACTGGGACACTTGGGCCGTTGGGAGTCTAGTCGCCAGGTGAACCACACGCGACATATGCCACGATAATACTGTTTGACAAAAGATAGACAACTGATATTACCGTGGCGGTGGCTCGTCTCGATGATTCGTTGCTTGCCCCTCCCCCGATAGAGGCGATGGATCATTCGAGACGCGTATAGGGTGGTTCTTTGACAAATATTACAATTCAGCAGCAAGCACAATTTCCCAAGTTTCCCCAAAATATCCCAATATTTTCTGTAATGATTCACGATCTACGTAGATATTTTACGTTTCGATTGGAACTGCAAGTATTCGGATATTCGAACTATTCGAATCATCGTAACAGCCTTAGTTTCTATTTGGTTTTGCATGTTGAATGACCTTGGTTCTTATTTATCCAGTCACACGATGACACCCTGTATAAAAAATTAACATGCATCCTCTGGTACTCCACTTTGCATGAAGCTTTTCTACCATATCATCTCGCACAACGTCTATCTTGCACATCCTCACCTATCGGTTTTTTGTGGGATCATTAAATTTTCGGTTGTCCAGAATGACTCTCAAAGACGCTTCTTTCAATTTCTCACACAGACACTCGCGCAACCAACCAAACCGCAGCCGCCCCCCCCCCCCAAACCGCCTTTCCGAGATCCACGCTGTGTCCAACGACCGTCTTGGATGTTCGCCAGTCTGTTTAACTCGCCACCCTGTTTTGTGCTTCTAGCTTCTAGCTAAAGTCACACACACTAAACGTCGCCGGGCGGCTTCTTCGCGTGACGGAGAGAGCCATCGAAGAGGAGCCGACGTTCCGTCGAATTCTTTATTTCCGAGGAGACCCGCTCCACATGCTAAGAAGACATCCGGTACTACTGCGGGATATCACACGCGTTTCGAGTTTTAAATCGACTTTGTTGTGTCCCTCGATGGCGCACGAATCAGTTGAGATCGATCGATCTTTAACGCGTTAACTGTGTGTGTGTCGAGCCAGAAGAATTCGGAATTTGAAACGAAACCAGAAATCTTATATTGGAAAGTCAGCACCAAAGTTTTGCTCGATAGAATCTGTAGATGACCGAAGAACATTATATAGTTGTTCCCTGTTGAGAATCGATGATTCGTAGAGGAAAATTAAACTGTATATACTTTTTGTTATTTAGTGTTGATATCTCACCCAGGACTAATATCTTGATTTTCTATGGTCGACACACAAACAGTAGTCAACCGGTTAAAGATTCGCGGTACAGTGAATCCTCGATGAATGTTCGAAGGCTCTTCGGCACTGAACATTAAATATTTCACGAACTAATGGCTATTGGACTTCCAGGCTCTATCGTCCTGCTAAATCTCATTAAAAATTCAGCGTCACACCTGGAGACCTCTCCTTGTCAGTGACGAGGATTCTTCGTACTCTCATCGAGGATTTACTGTATGCGTTCGTCGTCGAGCGTCTGTGTTGACACGCAAGAACCTCTTGTCTTTGTTTTTGCAATTTCTCGTGTAAATTCTTCAGTCTTTAGCCGAGAACGAGGAGAAAAACGGAATTGGTAAATAGAATTGTCCGGGCTCTGACAGGCCCGTGTTCTCTCTGATTTCATAAATATTCTCTCGGCATATTATCAACCCCCGCTCTCTACTGTTCGCGGGTTTCGCGAACGGGCGACAATGGCAAACGTAGTTTGCTAACAGCAAACAACAGAAATGAGGAACAACCAGACCCGTTGGGCAACGTGAATATACAGACCTACGGTATCGACAGACCGGAGGCTATACGACCGAGAGATTTTTTCATCGGAACACGCAAAATACGTCTCCTAGCTACAGTGGACTCTTACGATATTGCCGCGGCCGGGGCTGAAGGAAAGCAAATTTTTCAGAAACGGCAATGCGTTAAGAGACTCCTTTATGGCGACGGCGTATGCAACGTGGTTGGAGAGCGAATTTCTGTGCGAAAATGCCTCGTCTGGCAATAAGCCAAACGGCAATATCGTAAGAGTCCAGTGTATGTGGTCGCCATCCGCGTGCGGGACCATTTTAACTCCTTATACCTAACGGATCCTCTGTGTGTCGTTGTGTTTCAAGTTGCACAAGAGTCGAATGATAAGTAGAACCGTTTAGTAAAAATTACTTAAAACTATCGCACAAAAAAATTCAGATCATTCCTCGTAAAATAATAAATTTCAGCGTATCAGAGTTAATCGAGTCCGACATAGGTAAAACCGGTACGCGACAACGACAAGCGTCTGTCGAAACGAACGATTGAAATCACGATCTCTTGAACCACAAATAAAACTTGGACCGAAAGGGGTCTCAAGCGATAACCGGACGGGGCCCTCGAGATCGTCAGCGCCGTTCCTGGCGGTTAGCCGCGTGCGTCCAATATGGCGGCCACGGCGGTTCTCATTCGACATTCTCCCGGAAGAACGGCCGACGGCGGCGAAGCGCGCGCTCCGTTCGAAAAATCTCACTCGGAATCGTCGTCGTAGCCTCCGTCTTCGTCGTGGTCGTAACATCGTTCGTATAATCTTCGCCAGGTTTCGATAGCACGGAGGAGGACCGTTCGCGTGGGGCGTGCACGTAAACAGAGAGGGGCCATCGAGAATATACGAGCCGGCCGAAAAATTGCACGGTGAGCTTAACCTCGCCCCCGAGTGTACCTTCTGTGTTCGACGACGATAACACGTGGAACCGAGAAGAGGGAAAGACCATATATATATATATATATATATATACATATAAATACTATATGTATACACATACACAGGTGGCGTGAGAAAGATAGAGATAAAAGGTGAACAAAAGAAACAAGGGGGGATAGTAGAGGAAGAGGGTGTGTGTTGTGGTGGAATAGAGGACTCGAAAACACGAGACAGAACGAGGGGGAGGGAATGAACGGCCCCGGGAGTCATCAGCATCGCGGCTTGGGCATGCAGGGACGTTACAGGGCCGTGGTGGCCGGTGGTGCAACGGCCGGGCCCCATTCCCGGCCACCAGCGCCCCCTCACGCCCGCGGCGGATGGCATCCCCATAACCAGCATCCTCAGCATGCGCAGATACCGCAGCAATACTCCGGCAACAAGGAATACCCGTATCGGCAGTGTCCACCGCCGCCACGCTTCCATAACGGGTACATAAAAAAAAAAAGTTCTTGTGCACCATTTTCGGGCGCGCGTTAGGGATGCCCGATACACATTCAAAAGTATATCGATACTTTGTGTCGATACATACGATGTATCCGATAGAAAGTATCGATATCAATGCGTATCGATACGATGTTTGAAATATTTGAAATAATATCACGTTGTTGCCAATAGAAGAACGATCTCAACGACCTATAGCATGATGGTATTAAAACAAATATGCATTGACCTTGAGAAAAACCAAGGTCACCTTGACATCTACAAAAAAAAAATAATGATATCAAATTGTATTCAAACGTTTTTTGATACAACTAATAAGGTAACGAGTTATTTTAGATAGTAGTTCTTACCGAATCACCCTGTATAGTCAATTTTAATAGAAATTCTGTCAGAAACGCTACAGACTCATCTCGATTATCGTCCGGATTGTTCTACACGATTATTGTCCACGACTTATTCCCACCACTGAGGATAATGGGGATGTGGAACCTGTCAAGCGTATACTTTGCCTCTCTGTTTTTGTTACCGAGGTTCGGGTTGCGGGCAAAAAACGAATTCACGACGGTCCGAAGCATTTCTCCCTACAAGATTATTGTCTCGGCGTGGTCCCGAGTTCGGGACGATAATCGACAGGAGCCTGTATTATAATTTCAGTAATCGTGAAATAAGAAATCTGCAATCCGTCATTCTGACGGGTTTGGTAGTTCTACTAGTTAAGCTTGTAGCGACAACACTGTCCCCAGGCGAAGTCGGAAGTTTTCGCGCGTTCGCTTGTCACGCAGACTAATCGAAATAATTATCACTACGGGTTTCTTTCCATCTGGCCCGGAACTCGAAGTTGCGCAATCGTTCGTAACGTGTGAAACGCCTGGCATAATTCTGAAAAAAAAAAAAACGGTTTCTATAACGGTCAAGGTGTCTAAGTGTGCCGCTCACTTCCTCTTTCGTTGGGCCCGCGAAATTTGTCTCCCGAGCGTACATAGTTCGAATTCCTGATCGTGCGACACAAAAAGTACGTACGTATACTACCGGAGACTACTTTGGACTTTCACGGCCCAGCAACGTGTATCACAGTTATCACTGTTAAGGCCCCCTTTTTAGCGGCCCCCGATTTTTTGCGTAAAGAATGCAAAGATGATACGATAAAAAAAAACCTTCCTGGCCTTTGTTTATAATACATTCAAGCCGCCAGATGGTGCGTAGAGAAGCGAGAGCGTGGTTAGGAGCGCCGCGAAAGTGTTTCCCCGCTAAGCGACGCGTTCGGCCTGGCAAGTGTGTATTTAATTTTCAGCGTAACCGGCATTGAAGAGCCGACCATTCTAATCGACGATAATAAACGGGACGCGGGCACACTCGGGATGCACGCGCGTTTATGCAGCCGGTCTGCAACGTTCTGCAGACTTGTGTGTTTTCCCAGTGGCCGATCCTGTTCGCGTCGTCGCTCGTTTCGACCCTTCGTGGGGACGAGAAGATTTTTCTTGACCGTCGACGATACTGTCCGTATTAAACGTGATCCATACAGTGAGGGACACAAGTATTCAGGGTACAGTCACACGTGACAGGGATCATATAGTGGCTGAAGAGAAGCGTTCATTCGTTTTTATCCTTGTTACCTTCAGTGGACACTATTGGTTCTAAAAGATTTTCCACATACAGTCGGGGGTGTATTCCACATTACAGTACAAGAGAGAAATTATTTTAAATCATCCCAGGAATCTCTCATTTCCGGGAGTCGAAGCTATTTTGGGACACCCGGTAGATGGTAAAGAAACAACTAAACGGTACGAATCTGTTAATAACAGTGTCCGTGAATACTATTAGAACGTCGGTTGTCATATTTTGCTACAGTCTGAGAAATTATCATACAGTGTTCCAATGCTACAACAAATAGATGCTGTAACGAACAAGGTTTTACAACCGATTAGTTCGTTGTTAGCATTCGCCATTAACTTGTTGTGTCATTAACTTGTTATTACTAGCTTACGGACTTGATGCATTTACAACGTACGCGTCTGATACTCAGTATAGTGGAAAGTTAGATATAATGTTCACTGAAGTTTTCATTCCAAATTGTAACCCCATAAAAGCATTAAATCTGGAACGGTCGCGTAACGTCTCTGTCAGATGTCATTTATACGCGACCAACTGAGGTATATACACGCGATCTCTTCAGACTGTATGAAGTAAATTAATTTCCATTTAATTCCAGGTTCTATAAAATACGTACAATATAGAGCATTACTTCTTTAGAAGCTCCTAGCCTTTTTATAATATACATATACAGTATATCATCCCCACCCAGTGTCCTGAAGCTTTCGTTCTCCCTCCCTCGCTAATAACCATCGTTCTTTATCTCCGTCTACAAAGGACGGAGTATCCGGCTAATGAAACCATCGCAGTATCGTATACTCTGCTCCCTATAATCGCGTTACAGTGAACCCGTGTAGCGCGCCTATAGGAGGGGGAGTACACCATACAAGCGTCCGAGTATCTACAAGCTCCTCCCATATTTTTACAAAGGAGACCCATGTATTATATTCTAATATCTTATTTAACCCTTCAACCTAAAGATCACACTCGCCTAACGGACAAATTTGAATTTTTTTCTCACCAACACCACCTGGTGGAGAATTTCCGAAGCTTTAAGTGTTCGAGTACACTTGACGCGCCATTTCGAAAACGGTGACACGAAAAATACCATTCCAATAATTAAAAGTGTTATAAAATGATTGTTGTCGAATTATTCAATCTCTGAGACGTCTGTGGTCTGCGGTTAAGGGTTAAACAAGTGGAACTCATTCGTCACACGATAACGACGACGCTGTACGCAAAGAACCCGATTGTCGCTGGATTTTAATCGACGTTTGTCGGTTTCCTCGCCGGAAATCGCGCCACGCCGCTGACCGTTGAAAATTTGACCGTGACGAGATCCACGTTTACACACGCGTACATACACTGTCGCGTCGCTGCGTGCACAGAACCGGCAGACGTCAGCTTGCCTCGCGGGGTCGTTCCCATTCCTGTGTGGCTGCTGTACATGTGACACACGATACGCGATCTTACGTCGTAAATAGAAGTACACACGCGTGTCCACGAAACGGCATCGGTAAATATCGCCGCGAAAAAAAATAATAAAAAAACAAACGTTCCTCCCAGGTTTGACGACGCATCACCGCGGGACGCGCGCGAAATTCAAATGTATATCGCCATCGGAAGACAAGGCTACGGCAAAACCATGGAACCCCTAAACTACGAACCGTCTATCTATAAAATTAATATCATTCGATTCGATGCTCAAAGTTCTGTTAATACCGAAAAGATCCCCCGAAAAAAAAAAGAAAAACCAACATATCTCTGATATACCTCTTTTCGCGAGATCAGCAGCAATGCTCAGCATTCGTGACCGCGGTTTCCTGTTCTTTTACCACGAATGCTTGTACGTTTGTCTCCCCCCGTCATCCTCTAATTTCTCTGTTCTTTGGCGTATCATGTTTATCCGTTTCGACACTGGTTATCTTGTTTAGCATGCCACCGCATATATATGAGTATTTCTCCTTCTTCGTCTGTAATTTATTATTATCACCTTTCGTCATTTCGTGTAACATAAATCCTCCCACCCCCCACACACAAATTAACTCTGCCTCGTGGACTTTGGCGCCGAAAGTAGAGCCCCAATCCGCCGGTCGATCGAGCAGCCACGGGCCGGGGATAGATATTCGTTGTTTATTGTATCGCCAAACGATTCGTGTAAACACGACACCGGCTACATTTATTCAGCTGCCGCGAGGCTAGAAATAATACCGGGACCAGCTTCTTCGTTGACAACGATGTGTAACTAGTGCAACGCGCGCGGTTCGATTTAGTAACGAGTTTGGGGGAGAAGTGCAAGGGAACGGAAATCTTGTCGCTCCTGATGATTGTATTTCCCGTACGAGTTCTGTTTATAACCTAACACTTCGGACAGTATCGTCAAGTTGGACCGATATATGTATACCGTGGATAAACCGATTGTGACGAATAGATCGACGCACGCGAATGATCGATAGAATCTACGCGATGTGTCGAGTCCAGGGGGAAGAAAGCTTTTTTCGAATCGCGCGCCTGTTTGTGCTGCGGCGAAGGTCCTCAAAATGGTAGATGTTACCGTCAAGTAATGCGCTTTTTCTTTAATCAAATTCATATTTACTAGGGGTGGGTTGGAACCGAATATTTCCAATTCCTGAATCTCGATGCCGAAACTTTGCAAGACTTCGAAACTTTTGAAACTCGAAACTTTCTTGGGTGTTTCGCGGGTGTTTCCAGGTTTCGAGCAAACCCATCCCTAATATCTACTTTTGTGGGTATCAGGATCTTACTCTGACCTAGTAGAATTTTCTGAACAACGTCTTAGAACATCATTTTTGTCAAATCTCGAGATTTACTTGTTGGTACATCCCATAATCGGTGGTTCCCATGGGATACCGTGTATAATCATGGAGTTCGTGTCGATTGGCCAATTCACCACAAAGTATCGAGGACGTTCGCCGTGACAGTGTGGATATCCGGAGAATTTTTCTAACAACGCTACATTTCTGCCATACATTCAGGGACTGTCCGGGAGTTGGTACGTCTTCCGGACCGAACGGTAAGGAAGTATCGTATCACGGGAACGTAGGCGGATCCAGCGTGGGGTACAAACCGCCCCCGCAGCACAGCCCGCAGTCGAGAGGTCCACCGGCCCATTTCCCACAGGAGTCTGTGGGCCCGCCGGCCAACTCTCCGCCGTTGCACATCAACATCTGCGGTCAGGTAAGTGTCGTTTCCTACTGTCATCTCTCCCCCTTCCCTCCATCGACAGAGCAGCACTCTGTCACGTGTCGGATCAATTCGTCCGTTTCCTCGATAAAAATTGTACGCCACTCTTTCTGTTTCGCAGGAGAACACGATGCGCGGTCCATTATTGAACATGAGTTCAGGCCTCGGAGCTAGCGGCGTCGATATGGAGTACCGTAGGAGTTCCCAAGGTATATACAGAGTTTCGACACGGTCTATCGATCCTACCAGCCCGTACGTGTCGCCACGTTACAATTCTTCTGAAACTGTCGACACGTTTTCAGCCACCAATCAGCTACCTCTGAGCCCTGTACAAATCCAGCCATCGCCAGCATATTATAGACAGCCTAGTCAGGACGATGGCAGAAAGGTAAATTACGGTGTTATGTACAGCTGGTGGACTGGAGATACAGGGAACTTGTAAAATTGGTCCTCTGAGGACCTCTCACTAGTTTACTGACACGATACCTTCGGGAGGCTTTGTGGTGGCCTCACGGCTTGGTACAAGTTAGAACGGCAATGTCTGGAAGTTATAGTACACATATAATATTACAAAATCCTCATGGGTATCTTCAGAATGGGCCTTGGTTTTCGAGGTACTTTGATTTAAAGTTTTACACGTTGTCAACTTCCACATAGTGCCTTCCCTTTCTTAAACCAGTACTTAACATCACGTTCAGGTCCACTAAAATTAGAGTAGCAATTCGAGGTTTAGTCCATAAAGTATCGAAGTACACTTTTTCGTTTGCCTAGAAATAATGTCCCAGTTCGCTGTACCATGTCCACCAGCTGCGATAGGATCAACTGGTTTTCGTAATACTCTATCCCTGCCCCAGGGACATTTGGCAAGAGGGTGAACGGACACACCGTTGTTATTTTTCAGAGCGAGTCTCCGTCGAGAAAACGTCGTCGAATATCTCGCAACGGCGTCGTTTCCGGGATCGAGGTCCGTGAGACAACGCCCCCGTCGCTCACGTCCCCGTTACACACGAACCTGCCATCCGTACCGCCTCTGCCATCCCTGCCGAACCTGCCACCGTGGGATTTACCCCCGGCTCTCCAAATGCGATCGTCCCGCAACCATTATATAACCCGCCACAACTCGGCGATCCGTAATCGTTATCAACGGCACACCGAGTCGTTCGGTCTGTCCCATTCGTTCATGTCCGAGCAGAATCCCCATCCGACCATTCCGAACTCGATCCACGGGATTCACACCCCGCACAATCTGCACACCTCCCACCATAATATGCATAACGCGCATCAAACGCATTCCCATCATCCGGCCGGGACGGGACATCATCCAGCGCAGGAGTCGAACGGTCCGGTGGTGGTCGACGTCGGTCAGGTCGGTGTGTCCGGCCTGGGTGTGGCCGTGAGCGGGGAACCGATCTGGCATCCCCAAGCGACAGGTTACAGAATCCCGTGCCAGCTGCACGGCATATACCCGCCAATGGGGGCGCATCCGTTCACGCACTCGTGCCAGGTAAATAACCCAGATTCCTGTACAGGGGGTGGTGAGTCACGGGAACTCTGCGATAAGCCGGAATGATAATCTTAGATATTGCTGTTTTTCATTCTGTATTATTCGAATAAAATTGTGCCAAACCTCTGGGTTAGAAGACCTGCGAATGAAAATCATGCTTCTTTTTCATATTTGGACTTGTAACATCTAACGAGTTACTCACCCGTACATGTTAAAGAGAGAAATTCTGTTAGAATTAACCCGTAATAACTCGGTAGTGTTCGACGGACGTATTTTCAAATTGATTCACATGCAGAATCCATAGTGCTTAGGTCGTTTAAGGGTTAAATGTTTCAGGTAGGATAGATAGTAATACACGATTATATTTTTAGGTCACACACCAGAATCATTATTCACCAGCCCATCCGAACCAGCCAGGCCACAGCCTAGTCAGTTCGATAGTTGGCGCAGCATCCAGAGGATACCCAGCACCGGCCGGCGGTCCTGTCGCGGCCCTTCACCACGCTCACCCGCCTCCACCACCCGTCCATACTACTCACTACACTGCGCACCATCAACTCTCACAACAGGTAAGAAAATATACCGAAACGATTCCTGTATTTCGAGAATTCAAAAGAAGAAGAACCCTCTGAAAATTGTTACCATGGTTTCCCTGGTTCGTCCTATCGATTCCCCGCTAGAAGTATAATCCTCCGATACCTAACAGCCAACCTCTGATGGATAACCACGTTTACTCAAGTACTTCTCTTTTGTTGTATGTTACAGCGGGAGGTTGAATTAGAGTTAATAGAATCCCATCACCATCATCGTGTCGGAGCCGCCCCCGGTGCTCCATTACCGTTACCGCATTCGTACTCACCGCCGGCCCTCACTCAAGTCACGACACCGCCACCCATATTCATGTCCGAAACCAGAAACAGTCAATTGGAAATGCTGCAGTCCAGGAGCCGCCGGATAGTGTCGACCGCTCACGCGCTCCGACGATCAAGGCTGAGCAGATGGAGAGGTACACCGCCAATACCGCCAGCCACCTATCCAGGATTCTTGCTGCACTTCCTGTAAGTGGTGTCATCCTACGTCAAGACCATAGACGATCGACCATGTGTCCCTCGTTGCTGTACAGTCAATCCTCGATGAGCGTTCCAAGGCTCCCCGACACTGATTATTAAATATTTTATAAACTAATGGCCTCACGCGACTGAAACAAACATCATTGGCTTCGGAATTCCAAGCTCTATCACTGTATTAAGACTCCTTAAAAAGTCAGCGTTACAGCTGTGGGCCTTTCCTTTGTCAGTGCCGAGGAGCCTTCGTACACTCTACGAGGATTTACTGTATTCTCAGTTCCTCGCTCACGAACGACATCTCGGGGAATATTTCCAGGGCGATGTTCAGCAACCCGCCGTTATCACCGTACAACCAAGCGGAACTGTCTTCCCCGGATTCAGCCACCGAGAATTACGAGGCTTTGCTGTCGCTGGCGGAGAGGCTCGGCGAGGCCAAGCCACGGGGACTTACGCGGGCAGAGGTTGAGCAACTGCCCTCGTACAAATTTAACGCGGAGACGCATCAGGGAGACCAAACGAACTGCGTGGTTTGCATGTGTGACTTCGAGGCTCTGCAGTCACTCCGTGTTCTCCCGTGCTCGCACGAGTTCCACTCCAAGTGCATCGACAAGTGGCTCAAAGTAAGAGTCACTGTATTCCTCTACGTTTGCACTTAGATGACGCTCCGGTGCTAATGTGTATAGATGGGAACCTTATCTTTCGGTGTTAATCCTCAAAGACCGGATATTTCTAACGATTACATACCCAGGTAGATAGGTGTACGTATATATATGTATATACTTGGTACAGCAACAGGGTTTCCTGGATCTGTTTAGATTTCTACTCCATCCGTCCCTTTTTCTAGATACGGAATGTATTTCCTCCAGGCCCATTAATCTTCTAGTTACAGTTAACATAAGTCTTAGCATAAGCTTGTTACTTGGCTCGCTTGCCTATGCATTGGCCGTTTAAACGTCAGGCGAAAACAGACCGAGGCAGGTTCGAGGATTAAAGCGAAAGGCAGGATCAGAACCTGGAACACCCGCCATATTTTATCATGACTTCACGATATACAGACTCCTCTCGATTATCGTCCCAAACTCTGGTCCGCGTCGGGACAATAACCTGATAGGGAGAAATGCTTCAGTAACAAAAAGTGGCGGGGATAACGCCTGGACAATAATCGTGTAGAACAAGCCAGACGATAATCGAGATCAGTCAGTACCGTGTCTCCTAGGATCTCTTCCGTTCCCTCGAAAATTAATCACAACCTTTTTGCTTTGTTTACCTGTTACAGTCTAACCGAACGTGTCCAATCTGTCGCGGTGATGCAGGCGAGTATTTCGGGAACAGTGGGACCGGTAGCGACTGACGCCAGCCTGCTCAAGTGCACTAGCGCCAACTGTCACGAGTCTCAGGGACGCTACATCGCACAGAGCTGCCGGCGGCGGTCACGTTGCTGGTTTGTGCAAATTTCTGTTGATAACCCATGCAACAATGCGTGCGCCCCTTTTCTCATAGCCGAGAACCGACACCCGACGTTGTTGGGCCTCTCCGGGGGTCGTCGTCGTCGTCGTCGTGCTGTCACGTGATCCAGCCGTGTGTCGTCTTTGGTTCACCTGAACGGGAGGAGGAGAAGGTGAAGGAGGGAGCAACTTTCGGGGAAAGAGCGCGGGATATTCGATCACGGAGCGAGCGAACATGGAGGGGGAGAGAGAGAGAGAGAGAGAGAGAGAGAGAGAGAGAGAGAGGGAAAAATAAGAGCAAGAGAACGTGTTAAATTCAGGGTACGAGGAAGTGTGTGTGTGTATAGCTGTCGAGAAAAGAATCATTGCAACAGGGGTACGCGACTTTTCATTACAGCATGCAAACGAAAGCATAGAAAAAAGATTATGAACGATTTGCATACGAGCGAATAACGTGTAGCTGCGTTTGTTTTCTCGAGGGATATAGAAGAAGTCGGAGAGCGTGTGAATAAAAAAAAGAAAACGTTTAAACGAGCCGATTATCGACGGAAACCAGGATATCATGGAAATTGTGTGTCTGTGTCCATTGAATGATAATACATTTATGCACTCTACCCCCACACATTTCTCGTCGGGATCGTAAAGGACACATCGGTCCCCTGTTCGATCGTATCTCCTTCTGTTCCACCCCCCTTGGTTCTCTGTTTCGTCGTAGCGATTTCGAGATTCATCGGAAATCTCTAACGCTCGTTTGTTGGTTTGTGTTTACTATAATCGAATAAGTGTACATAATTCTCGCTGCGGCGGGACTAATTGCCACTTTCCATTAACGTTCCAAGTTTGTTTTTTTTTATTAGAGTTATTAATATTATTGTATAGTTGTCTTTCAATCCCACGAATTGTATATATTATTAACTCGCGTACAACACACTCTTCCTATACGTAATACGTGCGCGCGTATACAATCGACTGTGTGTAGATATCCGCGTTTTGTTTCCATTTTTTTGTTGTTTTTTGGAACTGGTGATTGCAGGGGAGGGGCACGTAACCAAAATATAGTCGTATGAATTTCGTTTTTTTTGTCCGTTTCCTTCGTTTGGTTCTCTTCTTGCGACAAAGAAAGAGAGAGAGAGGAGACACGTGTTAACCGAGCGAAAATAAAAAAAAACACGCGAAGGGGTCGGGTTCGAGGGAACTTCGTAACAAATGAAAAAGAGATTTCTTACCGTTCTTGTGATTCTTTTTATTAATTTCTTCTTTTGTCCTCCACACACTCATACACAGAGTATCCGTTCCTCTCGCGGCGGTGATTCGCGGCCAGCTTCTTTTTGTTTTCCATTGTTTTCTGTCGTTCTTTGGGGAACGAGGACGAAGGGAAATGTAAGCGTGTTCTGTCGGCGTTATTTAAAGGATCGATCACCACGCAAGTAGTACCGTAGAGATAGTAGACTTTCGGTGGATAAGAGAGAGAGAGAGAGAGAGAGAGAGAGAGAGAGAGAGAGAGAGAGAGAGAGAGAAAGAAAATTCGATTTGTGAGCGAGCGAGAGAGAGATTGAGAGAAAAAAAAGTCAGGCTCCTCGGCAAATTAGTTATTAATCTACATAAACAGGAAAAAAACGAAACGGCTACGTAAAAGAGATACAAAAACAAAATAATAATAATAATAATAATAATAATAATAATAACAGTAATAATGAAAGAGAGAGAAGAAAAACGAAGACGAACTAAAGCAAAGAGATGAGAATAACTGCTTCTGTTTCCTGCGTATCTACCTCTGATAGATGAAATGAAACGATTCATATTTTTTTATATACACACATCTCATAAACAATAAACGTACGTACGCTAAGAATACCAAAAAAAGAAAGATCGAGCGAAAGGGGTGAGAGAGTAGGGAATCGGGAGAATGAAAACCGACGGATAAACGAGAGTTCGCCCTGTGACTTGAGAATTCTTTGCTTATTCAAATCTAACACGTCCCAAAGCGAGAGATGCTAACCGAGGTAGCACGCGATTTATTCATTCGAGAGAATTTAGTGTACATTCCCAAGGTTTTTCGCAGTTAAAAATGGTTGCAACTATTCACGAAACGGAGAGTCCGAGTGAAACGTCGAAGTTGTCGGTAATTGGAAAACGTCGGTTATCCCGAGAAATTTGAACGCGCCGGTTAATTGGACGAGTTAAATGGATAATTTTAGCGTTTCACATCTGAAAGGACTCTTAATTCGAGGCTTTTACATCTCGACGGAATCTCGATAATTCACGGTTTCTCATTGGTCTAATTCGTTTTCCATGTTCACCAGCATAGAATATCGACTCTCGAGGTTGTTCATTGTCATTACCGCTTAGCACACACGTTCCACCTGGAGAACGATCCTCCACCTGGATCGACACGGTGTGAACACGGCCCCTATGATACTGGTAAGCGAAACTCGTCCGTACAATCGCATATATATATATATATATATATATACGTAAACAGAATATACTTCTTAGTAGAACGTCGTACGGGTGTCCGAGGCGTCTGCGTTCGCAACCGGCGAGACGAAAAAAGAATGAAAAAAATCCATACGAATTTGTTACCATAAATTACGCGATCCCGTGGAGATCGACCCCGAGACTCTTTCGATTCACACATCAAGTCACCTGCTGATAATAAATTTCTGTTCGATGTTACAGCTCTCGATTAAAAAAACTAAATGAACAAAAAGAACAAAAAACTACTGTGTCGTTTTCATAGGGTTCTTTGTGTCGCGAACGCAGTCGGAAACACACATACACACTCACACACACGAAGCAACGGGCCCCGTTGTCTAACCACAATATCAGAAGAAAAAAATTAAAAAAAAGAAAAACGAAAAAAAATAGAGTAACTCGTGTGCTTGGGGTGAGTAGAGAAACGCCGGCGAAATGTGTGTGTCTGTTGGTTTTGTTCCCCTAGATGCGTAAAAGAACACATATCACAAGTTTTCCCTAGCCCCTCGACTCGGTGTCAAACCGCGTATCGCACGCTCGCGCTCTTTTTGTCGGATTTTAACGACCTAGGGGACGGAGGAGAAAGGAAAAAGGCTCATTTTCTACTAGCTTAAGTGTCCGTGCGTGTGCAAGAAAGAGAGAGAGTGAGAAAGAATGAGTAGAGAGAGAGAGGGAGACAGATTGTCAAAAGGGACGAGCGTTCGATCGGTGGTAGCCGACGCCGAAGAAACGATATGAGGATGTCTTTTTGAGCATCGATGCGCTTGGAAACTCGAATTCTTTACCTAACCTCCCCTCCCGTTTTTCCCTGGTAACGTCGAATCAAACATTCTCTCGCGATATTAAATTTCCCAGTCTCTTTTTCTACGTTCGTCGTTTTCCGTGCTGTTGGTACAGAACGGATACGGTCGGTCGATATCGACAAACTCTACCTACTGGCGGTCGCGCGTGTGTCCGATGACGTCTGAGCTAAGGTAAACCGGCGGGGGGAGGGGCATTTATCAAGAAATTAAAAAAAAAAGAGAAATACTTCTGGAATCGTTGATAACCACTCGTGATAGGTGTTGTTTGCGGAAAGGGGGACGTGTTTTCTATTGTGGTTCGTTGATTCTTGACGCGGAGTACCATAAGTTTTCTTTTTCGGTTTTCTGATCATTGAAGTTTGGTGATGATCGAGGATTCTGGATGGTAGGACCTGTCTTCTGCGTACAATATACTGTTTTTCAGGCGACACTACGATACCGTAGTGGTAAAGTATACCTTATGATACTTTATGGTACCGTACGATACTGTATAATACCGCATAGTACCGTAGCATGCCATAAGGTACCGTATAGTATCGTGTTACCTTATGATACCATATCCTAGCTTCTGATACCGTATAGTATCGTATGTTAACTGATGGTATCGTGTGTTACCAAGGTATCGTATCTTATCTGATGGTATCGTATGTTACCTTATGGTATCGTATGCTACCTGATGGTATTGTAAATATGTTATCGTATGTTACTTTATGTTACCTTACGGTACCATATGGTACTGTATCGTGCTGTGTAACACTGTAAGATATCATATAAAGATTTGAAGCTGATATGTTCCAATAACGACTCAAATCATTTTCATGATTTGTACCAAATGTTACCCACGGCGACTCAAGACTGAATGATCCGCCGCGTCCTTTCACGAAAGAACAGAGTTGCTCAGCCAGAATCGTTGATCAGAATCAACAATAGGACGAACAACCGGGCCGTGTGTGAAAGCCTCGAATGCCTAAACCGAGGACGGTAGATATTCGGCTCTGGTTAACCTTGACCCGTCCAACGCTCCGTCCCTTGATTACGCTTAGGCTGTAAGGTAGCATAATTTTCGCCCGTAACGTGTACCTTATACACACCCCCGAAGCCTAGTGTGTGTACCAGTCTCGCAGCAGAGAGAAAGAAATGAAAACACAACGATCGGTTCTTGGAAGATCGCCGTTGTGGGGTGGTGGTTACAACCCCCGTCCATAGGAGGAGGCCAAACGATTTGCATACCCGGAGAATCGATACTTTCTCTCAGTTCTCCAAAAACGAAGGGATTGAACATACCGTTATTGTCGACAGCCCCTTGAACCCCGAAAGTGTGTGTGTGTGTATCTGTGTGTGTTTTGTCGTTAGTCGATTTCTCTTTTTTCTCTCTCTCCCTCCCTCTCTCTCTCTCTCTCTCTCTTGCTCTCATCCAGACGAAAAAATTAAACGTTATACGCGGTCTAGCACGCGTTCCAGGAACCGATCACCGAAACAGTACCAAAAGTAATTGTTCCGTTTGTGTATGAGTTCGCGCGAGTTGCTTCTATAGACGTAACGATAAGCCCGTATATAATTTGTACATAGGGGGAAAAAAAATATATATATATGTAAGAAAACATGTATCCGTTTGTATACACAGTGTACACGCAGTCGTACGTATATGTATGTGTGTATATATGTATATACACGTACATACCACGTACATGCATACCACACAGCAAACACACACACACTCGCCAACTGAGCTAACCGACCGAGGAGACGCGAAAGTAATGTTTAATTTTCGATCACTTAGGGGCGAAAGGTGGTTGCCCCCCTCCTCCCTCCCGCGCAACTGCAATATTGAACTTGCGCGTTACCTCGGAATGTCGTGTTAGCCGCGCCCGCGGATGCCAGCTGTGCGCGCGTTAAACTGATTTATGCATATCGAAGGCCATCGCTGAAGTATTCATCTCCTAAAAGCCCCGGCGCGAGCGAGCAACATGGACGCCGGCCACGAAGGCCTTATCGACTGAAAT